ACAGGGGAAGGGGGAGGGAGTGGGGAAGGGAGAGGGGGACGGGAGTGGAGAAGGGGAAGGGGGAAGGGGGAAGGGGAGGGGAAGGGGAGGGGAAGGGGGAGGGGAGAAGGAGAGGAGGCAGGTTGAGGGGAAGGGAGAGGGGGGGATGAGGCTGGTAGGGGGGAAGTTTTTTTTTTTTTTTTTTTTTTTTTTTTTTTTTTCGGCCGCCCCCGCCCCCCGCCGGGCGCCGCGCCGCCCCCCCCCCCCGCCGGCGGGGGGGCGGGGGCCGGGGGAGGGGAGGGGGGAGGAGGGGAGGGAGGAGGGGCAGAGGACCATCATTTAGCAGCCTTCAGAGGGAGTTGGAGAAGAGAACCCACAGTTCTGAGAGCAGGACTCCTAGAGAAGTGAGCACAGGAGCAAACAGTAACCATGACTGCGGAGATTACACTTGGACTTTTCCCCAGTGAGCCTCATTGTCCTTGGCACTGTCACAGGCATGTAACTGTTACAAAGTAAATAGATTACTGAGGACCTCTCCTCTTGGTGGTGCTGGGTCCCAGCTCTCGTCTCTATCACTGAATAAGCTGATTCCTGTCCCTTGGAGCCGCTCCTCTGGATTCAAGGAGCACTTTTCTTTCTTTTCTTTTTCTTTTCTTTTTTTTTTCAAGACAGGGTTTTTCTGTGTAGTCCTGGCTGTCCTGGAACTCCTCTGTAGACCAGGCTGGCCTCGAACTCAGAAATCCGCCTGTCTTTGCCTTCCAAGTGCTGGGATCAAAGGCGTGCGCCACCACCACCCCGGCTCAAGGAGCACTTTTCATCACTGTAACCTTGAGTGGAGGGGAAAGAGGATGAGGACACAGCTTATCAATGTTTTCTTTTCTGACTTTCTCATGCACCACTTGGTGTTTGTTTGTCTGTTTGTTTTTTTTTTTACAATTATTATTGGCTGGTGGATGCTACTTCTGGAGAAAGATGTCAGCTGTCCTTCCCAAGCTGCTGCACGTGGCTTCCAGGCTATCTAGAGCTTAAGTGGTAGGAGGACCATCGTCTTCCCTCAACATACAGAACATAATACACAGACATTCTGTATGAAAATGACGCACAGACAGCTCCAATTTCAAAGGGACAGGAGTCTGCTCTGCTACACAGGCAGAGAAAAAAAAAGCCATTTATAAAGGCATCTTTCAGTGTGAGGGTGGAGCCACACAGCTGGCGTCACATAAGAGAACAAATATTGAATAGGAAACAACTGACAGATTAATAGAGTTCCATCCATCTGGCTGCAGAGAGAACCGCTGCGGGAGTACTGAGAAGGCTGTTAGAGAAAAGCTTACCTGCTGCCTCACTGGGTAAAATGAATATCTTTCAAGAACACTGGACACATGGTCACAAAACAGTTGCTCAGAAGAGTTACAAGGATGCATTGGCAAGAAAGGGAGACCAGAACACACAAGGTTTGGAATTTATTTCTTGGCTTTTCCAACTTAGAAGGATGAGATGCAAGAAAGGAGATTCAGGTACGTACGTATGTACATATGGTTGTATGTATGTACGTATGTATGTATGTATATGTTTTTAGTGTGGATGTGTCCAGGTGAGCATGTGTGGAGGACAGGTTCACAACCTGTGTCAACTGCTTCCACCTTCTGAGTGCATATGTACGTCAGGGTCTAGCACTGAACTTAGATGTCACCTGCTCAACTAGACTGGCCTGCTAGCAAGCTCCGGGAACCCACCTACCTGTGCCTTTTTAATGCTGAATTACAGGCATGCCTAGCTTTTGAATGTGTATGCTGGGGGATTGAGCTCGGGCTCCCATGCTTGAGCAGCAAGCACTTCACCCAAATAAGCCATCTCCTCATCATCGTAGTTTGTGCTTTTGATACAAGCCTGAAAAGCCTCAAATGAAAGAGCAGGGTGGGGCACCCCTGCATTGGGAGGAGAGGCAGGAGGCCAGGAGCTGGAGGTCAGTCTCAGCTACACAGGGAATTTGGCCATATACATGAGCTAAATTCATATAGCCAACATAGGCCATATGAGTCTAGTTTATGTCTTTTTTTCTTTGTAGCCCCTCCATGCCATGGTGGAGCCCAGCTGTACTTTCACATGGTTTAGAGCTGAGCACAAGTACTAAAAATCAGGTCAGATCCAAGGAAACCAAATGTTCAAGGCTATCTCCATCCTCAAACTTAGTCACCAGCATAGAAAAACCTGCCCAGAAAGAACTGTTCAAGGCAAAGAGAATACAATCACTAACGAAAACTACCTCACAAGCCCTCAGTTAAAGCTCATGCCTTAATGAGCCAAAGACCTCCATGTTAAGCTGAAGTCAAAGTTTTCCTATGGCTGGAGTTCACATTCACTTCTAAGTTATCACGTCTTACTTTGTTTGGTTTGTTGGAGTTTTCAGACAGGGTGGCATGCAGCGCAGGCTATGGCCGAGCTCACTGTGTAACCAAGGCTAACTAACTCCTGCCTCCACCCTTCACCTGCTGGGATTACAGGTGTGCAGCATTCTAACTTTCAGAAAGCAAAACCACTGTGACTGGGAGCCTAACAATGAAGTAACCCATCAAGATTCACCTCAGACTCTGTACAACTAAACAAACCCTTCAGATGGCACACGTGAGGGAGGTGTTACTGGGTTAAAAGAACCAGCAAGCAATCTTGCAGTAACTCTTCTCACCAGCCTGCTTTGACCACCTGATCCCTACCCTTGCTCAAAGCTCAGTAACAGAGTCCCATTACTAGAAAGAGCTACCTGATCCTCCCCACCAGCGAGGTCATTCTGGGGAGAGCAGTGACTTACCTGTTCCTCCGACAGTTGAGATATGTGATTCACAGCAGCATAGGACTCAATTTTGGGATTAAAGTGATTGATGATGGCTCTGAAATAAAGAATTAACATTACTATGGTCCCAGATGGAAGATAATGATAATCTAGTTAATAGTGAGTGAGTAGCCTGGGGTTTATTTGTGTCTCCTTGACATAAGCTAGAGTGTCAAGCCTCCATCACATTGGCCTCTGGGTGAATCCTGAAGGAATGTTCTTTGATTAATGATTATTGACGTGAGAGAGCAATGGCACCCTGGACAGTAGAAGATGTTGGTCCTGGATAGTGTAAGAAAGCATGCTGAAGGACCAGAGAGATGCCTCAACGGTCAAGATCGACTGCTGTTCTCATAAAGAACCCAGGTCAGCTCCTAGCAGCCACACTGGGTAGCTCACAACTGTCTCTAACTCCAATTCTAGGGGATCTGACACACTTTTCAGGCCCCAAGGACTCTGCATGTTCCTGGTATACACACATAGGGAAACACACAGACACACAGACACACACATATACACACAGAGAGAAATAAAAGTTAAAGTTAGAAAGGAAGGAAGGAGGGAAGGAAGGAAGGAAGGAACGAAGAAAGGAAGGGGAAGGGGAAGGGGAAGGGAAGGGGAAGGAGAAGGAGAAAGGAAGAAAAAAAAGAGAAAAAAGCATGCAAATAAGCAAGCAGAGCAAGCCATGAGAAGCAAGCCAGCAACCAGCATCCTCCATGGCCTGTTTCAGCTCCTGCCTCAGGTTCCTGTCTTGACTTCCTGCTGACTTTGCTCTGAGGGAGTGACCTGGGAGCTGTAAGATCAAATAGGTTGCTTCTGGCCAAGGTGTTTATCACAGCATGAGAACAAGGACAACTGTCCTCTTCCTAAGTGTGAGTTACAAATGGGCATGAACTGGGAACCAGAGTGGGAAGGACTTAATAACTCACTGAAGAACAGAATCAAATGCTTCTGATGTGGAAATGAACTCCAGAGGAAAAACACATAAAAACAAAAATCATGCTAAGATTTCCTCAGATGAAAAAGGTCCCAGAGGGTGTCCACTAGGGGGCCATGGTGTTCCAATTAGAATGAGGAGTACAGGCGGATGCTTTAGACCAGCATGTAGACAAAGTATAGTCTCTGAAGAAGGTAAGCTTTATCAAAGCTGACATTCAGTCTTTATGCTTGTTAATATCAGTTCCAAACCACAATTTAAATTCCAGGCATTGAACCAAAATCAAAGTCTATCACTTGATCAGATCTAAAGTCACCATATCTGGTGAAATTTACCTCTCAAGAAAATCTCTGGGGGCCTGGAGAAAAAGTGCTTGTTAAGCAAACATGAGAACCTGAGTTCAGAGCCCTAGCATCAATATAAAAGCTGAGCATAGTTGTGTCCCCAAATTGTGTGTGTGTGCACCCATGTGTGTGTTCATGCAGAGACAGAGGGTTGGGTGGCTAGCCAGTGTAGTCAAACAATGAATTCCAGATTCAGTGAGAGGAGATCGTGTTTTAAAAAATTAGGTTCCCACGAGTACAACAGTGTCATGAATGTGAAGGGTTACTAACTACTTTCTGCTTGGCTATAAAGGCCTGCTACACAGATGGAAACACACGTCTAGTACTGTAAATCTGGCCAAGAATCCAAGGTTGAAGAGCTCAAAAGTCCCCAGGGTGAACCTACCACTACCACCACCACCACCACCACCACTACCACTACTACCACCACCACCACCACCACCACCACTACTACTACCACCACCACCACTACTACCACTACCACCACCACCACCACCACCACCACCACTACTACTACCACCACCACCACCACTACCACTACTACCACTACCACCACCACCACCACCACCACCACCACCACCACCACCACTACTGCTACTGCTCAGCTCAATGAACTTAACATCAATGCCCTGGAAATCTGTATCTCTCAACCATGGACTAGTGTAGCTCTCAGACCTCATCAGAGATGAACTCACACTTGGTCAAGCACAGAGAATCAGGGTCAGTGGAGTGCTCAGCCACAAATGCGACACATCTACATCACACCCCCTCCATTAGGTTCAGGGGTTACCTTCGAAGAAGGATGGGAAGACTCCAAGAGCCAGAGGTCAAGGTGAAGAGAGCAAAATGCTATTTTCTGAATCCTGCCAGTCACGAGCTCCCAGCAGCTAGGGCTGCCTGTTCAAATCCAGCCATGCAGCATTGCAGCTCAAGTCCCCACTCCTAACTGAGGAGTTGTGAACAGATGGTGGCTTCTGGGGAGGGGGAGGGTTTTATTTAAGGTAACTTGACCACACTCTGGTAGTGGCCTCACACCCAGGAGTATATGGGCAACACAAATTGTAGTCCATGGGTAAAGAAGAAGAAGAAGAGGAAGAGGAAGATGATTACACCCCAACTCAAAGTTAGGGGTGTATTAGGAAGGGGATGTGGATCTGGGAGAAGTTAGAGGGAAGAGTTGGGGGGTAAATATGATTGAAGTACACTATAAAATTCTCAAAGAATTAGCAAAAATATTAAAACATATATAGTGGTAAGAGTTGATGGGGGAGGGAGAAACAGTTTCTTCAGTGGTATATTCACCAGGAAGAAGCCCATGCTCCTATAAAATAACCTCCGTCCATGTTTATGTGAGCAGCCTTAACTAAACTCAATGGGGCCACATACACTAAAAAGGTCATTAAAGTAGAAGGGGTCCATGGGCGTGAAGCGGGGCAAGGGCATGGGTATTGCCAAGTACACATACGAAAAGATCCTAACGAAATCCAGTGTTAACATATACAAATAAAAAATATAAAATTGTAGGCAATACAGTTTACGGAGAAAATGTAGACTGTTCCTCATATCCACTAGGAATCTAGCTCAACTCTTCCACAGATGCAATTTCCCACGTCTAAGATCTATCACATAGATGAGACATACAGAAGTCTCTTATGAAACAATAAAGCACAGTTTTCATCCAGGAGCCCAGGATAGAATGACTGTTTCCATTCCCGAGTTCCCTGGAGGAATCAGGCCATCTCTAAGAGCAGCCATGTAAACCCTTTGGGCAGAAAGGGAAACAAAGTAAAGGTGTTTTACTGGCAAAGATTCTTCAAAGTTTTTACACTAAAATGATCTCTTTAAGGTCACCAGACTTACATTAAGAGTCTGAGGGAAAAAAAAAAAGAAATTAAAAAATAAAAAATAAAATAAATTAAAAAAAAAAAGAGTCTGAGGGAACATAGGTGTGGCAGCAAAAAGCCATGTCTTATTGCGAGTGACTGCCTGACCGGGCTAAGTTCTTGGAACCTTAAGCTCCACTACTGGGTTTTGGTCAAGCGGAATGCTATTTCTCTTCACCACTAAAAAGCCGGAATCTTATTTTTCCCAAGAGGCCTAGATAAAATAACACTGTTTCCATGAATAATACATAATGAAAAAACAAAAAAATACAAAAACCAAACCCAAGGACTTTAAATGTAAAGAGAGAAGGCTCCAGTTAAAATCCTGACTCCTCACTAGGCACTGTGGCACACACCTATAATCCAAGCAAGCACTCAGGAGGCTGAAGGGTTTAAGGCCAGCCTGAGTAAACGAGACTGTCTCAAAAATACAGGATCAGGATGTATCTCAGTGGTAAAGCATCTACCTAGCATGTGCAAGACCTTAGGTTAGATCACTTAGTAGTAGGGAAAATCCTGATTCTTCTACTTATTTGCTGTAAGAATTAAGCACTGGCTTTTTCATGTTTTCTTGTATACCATCTCACTAACTTGCCCCAAAAGGTAGGTAAGAAGTGAGTATGTGTGTGTGTGTTTATGTGCGTCTCTGTGTATGTATGTATGTGTGTGTCTCTAAGAGTTTAAATGTCTTTGTATGAGTGTGTATGTGCATGCGGTCTCTGAGTGTCTCTGTATGCGTGTCTCTGTGAATGTATGTGTCTGTATGTGAGTGTGTGTATATGTGTGTGTGTATGTTTCCGTGTATACATGTGTGTCTCTGTGAGTATATGTGTCTGTGTGTGTCTCTGTGGGTCTATGTGTCTGTATGTGACTGTGTGTGTGTATATGTGTTTCTGTGTTTGAGTATGTATGTCTGTGTGCTTTGCCAATGATAACCATTAAGCTAAAATCCTCATTTTGTTTTTTTGTTTGTTTGTCTGTTTATTTTTTCTTTTTTTTTCTTTTGGTTTTTCAAGACAGGGTTTCTCTGTGTAGCCCTGGCTGTCCTGGAACTCACTCCGTAGACCAGGCTGGCCTCGAACTCAGAAATCCGCCTGCCTCTGCCTCCCAAGTGCTGGGATTAAAGGAATGAGCCACCACTGCCCGGCTATTTTTTCCTCTCCTTGACCATATGTAACACAGCATACAATAAATATACTACACAGTGTATTCCTGGGTATCTGATAATTATAAGCGGGAAAAAGATTCTATGCTTTTTGTTTGTTTGTTTGTTTTGTTTTTTGAGACAGGGTTTCTCTGTGTAGCCCTGGCTGTCCTGGAACTCACTCTGTTGATCAGGCTGGCCTTCAACTCAGAAATCCACCTGCCTCGGCCTCCCAAATGCTGGGATTAAAGGTGTGCGCCACCACCGCCCGGCCCATTCTATGCTTTAAATACTCTTAAAAGTAGAAACCTTCAAACACACTGGCCTCTGAGAAGAGGGGAAGGGATGACTAAGTGATGTATGTCAGTTGATAAATAGTTTGTCTGAGGTTTAGTTATTTAATTTTACACTAACTTTTCACCTTCACAACTTCACACACACTCCCATTTCATGCAATAATAAGCTTCTTACTAGGAAGCCAATGAATCTTTAGCCCATACAATTCAATAACAAAAGCAACAAAAAGAGCAATTTCCCTTGGTGCCCGTTAACAGCCGCATTACAAGCCTCAGAGCCTCTGCTGATTAACATTTAACAAAATAAAACCCGAAAAGAAGAATTCTTTTCAACCTTTTCACTTTGAAACTATCTAATCAAAAACTTCCCCAACTGACCTGTTGGGCATTCCTCTCCTCACGTTATCCTCAGGCCTGCTCCATTCATGCCAGTGCCCCCGACACACAGACACAC